ATAGATATTTTTTGGGTTGAATTCCAAAATATAGGCGGAAAAAATTGGATTTCCGGGTATAGACATGGATTCCGCGGAGGTAAGCTATGAGGGCTCCGCGGAATGACAAAATCGTAAATAAATTAGAGTATTAAAAAAAAAAAAACTTAAGATCCATTCCACGGAGCTACCTCTGAGAAATAAACTCATTTCGTGGAGGTAGCTCCGAGGATTTTTTTTTTTTTTTTCATATCGATTCTTCGGAGTTTACACTTATTCCCCAACTAATTATTTTCAAGAAAAGATTGTGATAGTATGAATTTTTCTTGACAATGTTTAGAATGAATGTGAGGTGGAAAAAAATTAGTCTTTTAATCGGAGATCTTTACATGAAAGAATCATTGGAGGTGATTTTTTTTTTCTGAAGATCCATTCGTCGGAGCTACCTCCGCGGAATGGATCTTGAGGTTTTTTTTTTAATACCCTTATTTATTTATGATTTTGCCATTCCGCGGAGCTACAGTGGATTTCACGGAGACCCTCGGAGCTTAAATCCGCAGGATCCATGTCCTATATCCGGAAATCCAATTTTTTATGTCTATATTTTGAAATTCAACCCCAAAAAATGTCTATAACCGGTATTTTCCCCCAATTTTATCTCATAGACTTATCCTCGTTGCTCATTTATATATACAATACAATGTATGGGTCATTCCCTAGAAAATAAAAGTACAACATTGACTAAATCACAATGCTATCTATATATATAGTACAATGTACGGGCCATACCTTAGAAAACAAAAGTACAACATTGAGTAATTTACAGTGTATACAAGTTTTATTAGTAATGAACTTTAATGGCTAGACATTTCAGAATGTAGAAAGTAGAAACCAAAAGGGTAAAAGTGGATAATTGTTGTCTTATATCCTTATTTTTTTGCAATTATGTTAAAATTTTGTGTGTTTATAACGAACGGAATATATAAACACAAAATACTTTAATAAAGGAACATAGACCAAAAATAATACAAGGATAACATTTGCTGGGCTAGAAATTGAGGAAGAGATGCACAACAACGTTATTTAAGGGGCTTACTTGTGAAGCCTTCAAATTCTTGTATCAACAACTATATAAAGAAATGGTGAACCTCAACGGATTCATCTACTGATTATGTTGAGCAACAAAGTTCAATTGTAGTGAAGAACATAAAACAATATCAATAATAAGTCTAACAAACATAAAAGCATTCAAACAAAAAACAAGCAAAAGGTAATGCAAAATCAATAGATTTGTTAATCAAAAAAGCTAAACATCCAAGAAACGATCACATAGTTTTCTATTAACAGATATCACCCACGTAGCATAACACTAATTCCCAAAATAACAATTCTATATCAACCTTCAAAAAACAAATTTGCACCTTTTTCCCAAAACATTCCTACTCAATTTATCTTAGCCCTTGAAAAGTCCATCTCCGGGTGCTACACATATTTGAAATCCAATATCAGTATCAGTATAAGTATCAGTGATTTAATCTCAAGTTAAAAGTTAAAAGAACTTTACCTCAGCCATGAACTTTTTAAGAATGTCTTGTTTCTGCATCTCATCACTAGTTGGCAACCCCATCTACTTCTGCCTTTGATCAAACTACAACATGCACATTTATAAAGATTAGAAAAAAATAATAATAAATAATCTTTATTGGAGATTTTTTTAGCTATAAGAAATCTAAATATGTGATGTTAAGATCTTCCTACCATCATCTTTTCAACAGTGGATCTTGTTTCAGGGTCCAGGTCAGCAAGTTTAAGTTTACTGTTTTCAGGTTCAACTTTCTGAGTGTCAATTTCAGGTTCACCCTTCACCAAAAACTTCCACCATTCCATTTGATCCTGTTTTGTTAAAAGAATGGAGACTGATTTTTGATCCTATGTAAAAGAAACAAAAAGATGAGTAATTTGAAAAAAAAAAAAAAAAGGATCTTACACATTTGCAATAACTTAGGTCGTAAATCCATTAATGAATTCAATGAAGCGAGGACTTGACAAAAATAGTATTCAAACGAGTAAATGAAAGATGATCATATTTGTCAACTTGACAATCATGGGATAGCATATTCGACAAAGTTTTATTATACGAATGAAAATTATATAGCAATACTACCATGTGGTTGGACCAAAAGAAATAAATGCGACACGAAAAGCCTTAGTGGTTTTACGGAATAAAGGTCCTTTGCACTGTCACATCAAATAAGAGTGTGGCGGGTCCAAAAATCCTTCATAGAGAAACCAATTTCACTGAATCATTTATGCATTTCTTATCAAGAGTGAACTGATATAAAAAAATCAAATAAGATCATTTATGATATTAGGGGTCACTACAACATTATGAATGTGTAAAGTATGATAGAGGTTAGGAAACTACTATTATGAACCGTCACCAACAAGGATAGATGGAATAACACATTTTTCAAATATAGTTTTAAGATTACCGATATCTAGCGTGAGATGTGTAGAGGCAAATGTGTACATGAACCACTCAAAGCTCGATGAAGCTTGAAGAGTCGGTAGTATGTAAAGCATGAGGAAGATAATTAGCTTTGCTCCGGGTTTGTTGTGTTAAGAGCCGGAGTAGCTCAAGGAGATATTAAAAAAAAATTGATTTTTATTGCGAGTGGCTTATGGGTTGTTGGTGAGTTACATCGGTAATATGTGGGTTGGACCACTTGTAGGTGGTGGATGCAAGTAACTGAGCCATAAGATGGGCAACTGGCTAGCCCGCTATGGTGGGGCCATATCGGTGGACTGGAGTCTTTACGGTATATCCCTAGCAACGAGAATCTTGTTGTCAACGACCATTATTGGAGCGGGAATGCCTGACATGAGGTTGATTGTGACCCGCCAATGGTTATAAGAGTCACATTGTTGGTGTTTGTTGATAATGTATGAAACACCATGGGAAAAAGAAGCAATATCACAATGTGTGGCTTGTTGAGGGCGTATGCAAGGAAAACTAGTTTCCTCATCAAGGAGCATGGAGCGGGATTGTAGGAATGAAGGCATCAGAGACCAGTGTCGGATGACACTAGCAATGTGGTCATGTTTTCGTCGAGGCCATTAATCATGTATTTGATGATATTATTTTTTGGTGCGGGTTCTTCGATGTCAGCAAAATCGGAACGAACTTTGAGTTGTTGACAGCAATTGGTAATCGAAAGCTCATCGATCTCAATGTCGGATCTCATTATCAAGTTGCATAGACCTAGCATCCTTTAGGGATGTTCAAAATATCTGAAACCTACGAACCGACAAACTGTATCAATTTTTAGGTTAATTGAACCGGATTTTTTTAACTTTTTTCGGTTTGGCTAAAAGGACTACTAAAATCTCCGGTTTAATGGTTCGATTACGGTTCCCGTTTTTTACATCGGATTAAACCGAAATTTTAGTTTATTCTTTTTAGAAGAATGAAGGTAATTTAAAAATATTAGTAATTATAAGCTACAATTTTCATAATAATTATTATCAATTAACATTGACCTGTTTAGTATATAATTGTCCCTTTTTGATTATTATTGTTATCATCATTAAACATGTTGAGTTAATGCTTATTCTTAACGTATGTATTACTGCCATCAAGTACTTAGATTTTGTAATGAAAAACAATTATATTATCTTATCTCATAATAGTTTATTATTAAAAGAGAAATCAAATATTCTCGTATTCTTTCCTTTAAACGATTGTCCAAATCTGAATGTCGATTATAAATATCATTACTATATATATTTCAAATTTAAGAAATGGCAATTATTAATATAATAAAATATTATCATTATTTTAAAGTTTTGTTAAGTTTTTTAGTTACGACACATTTGTTTATTAACGGTTAATTGGTTAACCAGATAACTGAACCGAAAAAATAAGTTACCGAAAACCGGTTATTTCGTTTTAGGGTTAAGTTCAATAAATTAGCAAACGGGTCACTTTGGGTAACCTTTGGAAATACATATTCGCTTCTGCTAACCATCCATGAACACTCCTAGCATCCTTATTATCGCGGAAAAATTTTTCAAAGAGTCAGTTGAACACTTTTCTCAGTGACACTTCTCTTGAGAATCATACACTTTTCTTGAGAATCATTTCTTCTCAGTGACACTTCTCTTGAGAATCATACACTTTTCTCGGTGACACTTTTCTTGAGAATCATTTCTAGAAACGATTTGCGGATCTAATTATCAAATTGAATCGCCCTAGCATCCTATCATCCTTATTAAGTTATGAAAGACTGTTAGGTCTGACCAAAAAGACATGTGCGGGAGGAGACAGGACTGCTGTTGAAAAAAAAAAAAAAAAAAAAAAAAAGAAAAAAAAATATGGGAGAGGGGAACTCGGATACCACATCATGAGACCAATTTTATCTCAATAGACTTATCCTCGTTACTCATTTATAAACATAGTACAATGTATGGGTCTTATCCTAGAAAATAAAAGTACAACATTGACTAAATCACAATGCTATATATATAGTACAATGTACGGGCCATACCTTAGAAAACAAAAGTACAACATTGAGTAAGTCACTATGCCTATACAATATACAGTGTATACAAGTTTATTAGTAATGAATCTAATGGCTAGAAGTGGATAATTGTTGTCTTATATCCTTAATTTTTGCACTTATGTTAAATTTTGTGTTTTTATAACGAACGGAATATACAAAAGCAAAATACTTTAATAAAGGAACATAGATATAAGGATAACATTAGCTGGGCTAGAAATAGAGGAAAAGATGCACAACATTATTTAAGGGGCTTACTTGTGAAGCCTTCAAATTCTTGTATCAACAACTATATAAGGAAAATGGTGAACCTCTAAGGATTCATCTACTGATTATGTTGAGCAACAAAGTTCAATTGTAGTGAAGAACATAAAACAATATCAATAATAAGTTTAACAAACACAAAAACGAGCAAAAGGTAATGCAAAATCAATAGATTTGTTAATCAAAAAAGCTAAACACCCAAGAAACCATCACATAGTTTTCTATTAACAGATATCACCCACGTAGCATAACACTAATTCCCAAAATAACAATTCTATATCAACCTTCAAAAAAACAAATTTGCACCTTTCCCCCAAAACATTTCTCCTCAATTTATCTTAGCCCTTGAAAAGTCCATCTCCGGGTGCTACACATATTTAAAATCCAATATCAGTAACAGTCTCAGTAATTTAATCTCAAGTTAAAAGTTAAAAGAACTTTACCTCAGCCATGAACTTTTTAAGAATGTCTTGTTTCTGCATCTCATCACTAGTTGGCAACCCCATCTGCTTCTGCCTTTGATCAAACTACAACATGCACATTTGGAAAGATTAGAAATAAAATTAATAAATAATCTTTATTGAAGATTTTTTTAGGTATAAGAAATCTAAATATGTGATGTTAGTATCTTCCTACCATCATCTTTTCAACAGTGGATCTTGTTTCAGGGTCCAGGTCAGCAAGTTTACTGTTTTCAGGTTCAACTTTCTGAGTGTCAATTTCAGGCTCACCCTTCACCAAAAACTTCCACCATTCCATTTGATCCTGTTTTGTTAAAAGAATGGAGACTGATTTTTGATCCTCTGAAAAAAGACACAAAAAAGATGAGTAATTTGAAAAAAAAAATGTAGAAAAATATACCACATTTTCAAATGTACATACCTAAGCTCCAGAAACAGTCATCAACTTTAACAGACTTGTACAAGTCCCCCTGTATTATATATAAAAAAAAAAGGTTATTGATATCAACTTATCATATTATTAGAATAAAACTATAATTTCAACATGTTAGAAAGATAATCTAAATGCCACTAGCAAACTTACTTCAAGAATTGGAGGTTGACCCTTAAGTCCCACTTTCAAATGATTCTTCTTTATTTCACATGAAATAAATCTTGACTTTGTTCCAGGAGGAACAGGGATGTTTATGGTTACTTCTTGCAAAGATTGGATCCAGGAATAGTTTTCCATGTCCAATCCGTTTCCTTTATTGGGAGCTGTTTGTAATTTCAGAACAAATTAGATGTTTTCTTGAAAAGATAATAAAAGGATTTTATAAAAGTAATATGCATGATAATTTAATGAGTTATAGAAACAAGAATGTGATAGATGTGATCAAACGCATAAGCAATTAGATCAAGAACAAATCAAGAGGTTTAACATTCTTAAAAAATTAAACCCCCTGACACAACTTCCAAAATAAGTGATGATCACAATCACAAGATAAACTGATTATACATTGCTAAAAGGGCTGATTTTAATAAGTATGCAACAGGCTTATAACATAGCTTTCGGATCAATCTACACATAAACTATTCACTAAAGAACATATAATAGTTAAAGGAACAAACTTTATGAAGATTTGTTACGATTTTAGCAGAAAGATCAAGAACCGATTCGAATTGAATAGGTGTCAACATATATAGTTTACTAATTTTGATAAGGCATTGAACTTGTAACAGAGTAGGGAAATAAATGATTAATTATAAACGATGAAGGAATTAAGATGACAAAAAGAAGTATATACCTCGCAATCCCTTCTTATTATCATCGTTCGACTCCTCCTTCTTATCCTCCGGTTCCTTGACGGAAACTGCGGGCTGCGCCGGTAACGACGATGAAGAATCCTCCTTAGCCCGCTTGTTACCGGGCTTTACACTGGTAGCACCATTGCTGGCGGCTGATACAGCTTTCTCTTTCCTCTTCCTCTCATCAGCGTCGAGTTTCTCCTTCACCGTACGAACCAACCCGTTAACATCCTTAACTACGGAATCAGTCTTAAAGAGATCGGTTTCGCTAGCAACGAACTCGAATGCGGTCTGGAGAAAACGAAGGGGATCGGACGAATCAAGAACAGCATTAAAGGGCTTCTTCACAGGCTCCGGTGTCTTAGTTTGCTTCTGATCATCCTCTTCGTAATCAGAGAGGATCGCCATTGTTTACTGCAGAGTAATTGAGGGAGCAAGGGATTGCTAGGGTTAGGGTTAGGGTTAGGGTTTGGGTTTGAGAGTGAAAAGTCGGGGTTTTTAAGAGAGAAGGAGGATGTGAATTGGAATGTAGAAACCTCTAGAAGTCATGTATTTATAATTTTGAAGTTACGATGCACTTCATATTATAACCAATATTTTAGATTTAGATTCGGGACGTTTTTTTTTTTTTTTTTTTTTAAATAGGGATAGGATTAATACACATAAAATTCATAAGTTCGTCTTAGTTTGTACTTATCTCGTTTTTTTTTTCTATTAATTATGGGCATTCATTAAGAGTGTTAGTGTGGCAAAGAGGCTAAGTGATATGGCTGATCATCATTAATGAGGTATGTACATGAAAAAATAAAAAAAAAAATATATATATATATATAATAATAATAATAGTAATTAGTTGTCTATTTTTAGGTTGATTTTGATAAAGCTTTTGACTCTATAAATTAGAACATTTTAGTTTCGATTAATGAATCTTTTGGATAAATGGGTGTCTTTCGTCTTCTAGAGCTTCGGTGCTTATCAATGGCTCGGCTACAAAGGACTTTTACATAACCAAAGGTGTCTGTCAAGACGACTCGTTATCTCCATTCCTTTTCATCATTGCCATGGAGGGTTAAATGTTGCGTGAAAACCGCTTGTCAAAAATCTCTTTTTCAAGGTTTTCCTATCCCAGAGGTTGGATCCGAATTATCTCTTCTTTTACTCCGACGACGACGCTTTATTCGTGGGGAATTGGGTGAGCTAGAATTTTGCTAACTTAGCTTGCATTCTTAAATGTTTCCATGCAGCTTCCGGGTTAAAAGTTAACTTCCATAAGTCAAAGGTGTGTTTGGTATCGGTGCTTCGAGCAATGAAGTCTCAAGCTGTGCTAGGATTCTTGGATGTGAAGCCGTTTCCTTGCCATTCAAGTACTTAGGCGTCCAGGTTGGTGTGAATATGAATCTTAAAAGAAATTGGCAACCCATAATTGAAATAGTTCATTCGAAGCTTTCTATGTGGAAAGCCAAAAATCTTTCTTTTGGTGTAACTCTTGTCAAGTCTTTACTCGGGAGCTTGCCTTTGTTTTTTTGACTCTTTTTAAAGCTCACAATTTTGTTATCGAGCTTCTCGAGACACTTCGCAGACGTTTCCTTTGGGGTGGTAGTGATGAAAAAAAATAAAATTAATTGGGTTTCCTAGAAGGTGGTTACCGGGTCCAAGGGTCAAGGTGGGCTCGGAGTGGGATCGCTCGTATCTCTCAATTGGGCTCTCCTTTCTAAGTGGATTTGGAGGTTTAAAAATGAGCATGATTCCCTTTGTAGGCGTGTTATATGTGCTATTCACAACAATACAAGGAAACTTGTTGATTCCTTAGCGGAAAAAAAAAAAAACCCCTCGTTGGGGTATAGTATAACATTGTGAAGGTCATATCGGCAATTGAGGTAATTGGAATTGATCTCCCTTCCATTTTTGAGTTTCAGGTCAGATCCGGCAACAGTACTTTGTTTTGGCTTGACAATTGGACGGGTTGCGGTAGTTTGGCTTCTCAACTCCTCTTTCTTTTTCTCTGGACAAGAGGAATATTTACTTTATTGAGGAAAGAATGGTCGATAACAGGTTAATTGGGGCATGGAAGAGAACTCATAATATCAATCTTTAGGTTGCAGAGTTAGAAATTTTGGTTGGTCTCATAAGTTCGAACTCGCTCAACGGTGAACCTGATTTATGGAAAGCTAAACTCTTTGATGACGGGGGGTTCTATGTGCATGATTTAAGTGCTTTAACTGACTCGAAGTTAACAGTTCTGATGAAGAATCCAACAGTCTGGTTAAAGTTAGTCCCGGTGAAGGTTGTTGTTTTTGTTGGGAGGTATTGCATTGATAGATTCCCTTCGGTGGTCTCTCTCTCTCTCCCCCCCCCCCCCTCTCTCTCTCTCGTAGGGGTATCTCTATTTAAAACAACTCCTGCCATTTATGCGATTTTGGGAGCGACGAGACCGATCATTTCTTTTGGGCTACACCTTTGCTTCTAAATGTGTTGAGATAGATCTTTAATTGGAGTAAACTCTCGCTGCAAAATTTTCAATCTATAGGAGACCTCATTAAATTTACAGCGGTTTGGGGCAATTGCCAAAAAAAAAACAAAAAACTATGTTGGCTATCGTTTATGGGTATTTGTGTTGTGTCTAGAAAGCGAGTGTAACACCCTATTTTCGCCTTACAGTACAAACGACCACTTACGTTTAATAGACTTTTTGATAAAGGAATATTTAGGATAAATAGTCTTGACAAAAGTCGTAGTAGTCGTAAAAGCGAGAGCATACATCACTATTTTGAAAAACTGGATCGGACCGGCCGGTTCAACCGGGAACCGGTCGTGGTTCCAGTTCTTTATGCCCCGAAAATCGGTCGTCCCTTAAACCGGAAAAAGCCGCCTGGTTTTTCTCGACCCGCGGTCCAACCTGTCCGGTTCAACCTCCTTGAGAACCGGTTTTATTTGATTTTTTTTTGTTTTCTCAAAAATCATCGGAAAAAGGCAAAACCCCAAATCGCTATCTCAATTTCTCAATATCGAATCATCTATCGACCGAAAGAAATCCCGTTTCCAAGACAAAATCTAAACCTAATGTCGACTAACACAATCGACTGAAGATTGAAGAAGACCTCCGATTTTCAATTTCTCCTTGGTCGAAATCATCACAGTGACACGGAGGGCTAAGAATTTTTTCCGATTTGTGCTCCACCACCGGCGACTCATCACAGTGACACCTTCCAATTTCCACCACAGTCACACTTCCATAATACAAAGGTAAATTAATCAACACTCAACACTTCCTATCAAGCTAGGCTATCATTGTTTCTCTTTTATATAGACTAAAAGTTTAAAACTAAATGCCAATATATGGATCATGTGTTGGGGTCGGGACCATTTTTAGAATCAGAAACAAGATGTTGGTTGTTGTGGAAAGATAACATTTGTACAGTTAGACCATTTGTACAATTAACATTAGTTTAGCTATTACTCAAAATTCCAGCATGTTGTAGCGTCTGCATAAGATTAGAGAAACTGTCAACCATTACTCAAATCATGTGGTAAAAATGTTGCTTATTATTTTCAGAAAGCATTTGGATTATCAATAATTTATGATTGTATAAGAAAGCTTTTGTACAATTAACATTTATGATTTTTTAAGATTGTTTAACATGTTTACTTGTTTAGGATTATCAATAATTTGATATAAATGTAACATTGGTTGTTCGTGTTTCTATTATAGACTTATAGTATAGATTATGAGCACTCCTGGTTCAAGTTCCAATACATCTGAAGAAGCACAGTCGAATAGCGTCCCATCTGGTTCACAAACTTCTCCTCAACCAAATGTTCGAGCAAAAAAGGATCCTGCTTCGAGGTATATTACTCTACTTGATGGTGGAGGCGGAAAAAAGGCATACTTTTGTACTTTTTGTAAAAAAAACGTATAACGGTGGAGGTATCAATAGAATGAAACAACACCTTGCTGGAGTGACATGTGCAATTTCAGCATGTCCGAGTTGTCCAGGAGATATAAAGTTTGTCATGAAAATTTCGTTGGATGATAATGCCAAAAAAACAAAAGAGAAATGTGTCGGTGTGCTTGGTGATACTTCGGGGGTGAATGTAGATAACATGTATGATGTTGATGATGATGATGATGATGACGTTCAAGTACTCACCCAACAATCAACTCAAAAAAATATGGAAAGAGAAAAGCTCCTCCTACCTCTCAAACACAAACCGTGCCACCTTTTTTCAAACGAGGTATGCATGATCCTTCTCAACCATCGATTAAGGCAACATTGCAAAGTAAGGAAAGGTGGCATGATATAGATTTAGCTCTTACTATGTGGTTTTATGATTCTTGCATACCTATGAATGTCGTGAATTCTCCCCTTTTCCAAATAGCAATGAGCAAAGTCGCTAGTATAGGTCATGGATACACGGGGCCTTCATATCATGATATGCGTGTCACGTTGTTGAAAGATGCAAAACAGTCTGTACAACATATATTTGATTCTTATAGACGTTATTGGGTAGAAAATGGTTGTACAATTATGGGTGATGGGTGGCGGGATACAAGACAAAGACCCCTTATCAATTTTATGGTGTATTGTGCAAAAGGAATTTCCTTCATTAAATCAGTTAATGCATCAGATATTGAGAGTAATGCCTAAACATTATGCAACTTATTTAGTGAGATTGTTGAGATTGTTGGTCGTCAGAATATCGTTCATTTAGTCACTGATAATGTTGCAAACTATAAGGCCAGTGACGGAGCTTGGACATTTATTTGGGGGGGGGGGGAAAGTATAATATACATGAAAATCGGAGAGCAAGGGGGGCCACAACATAAATTTTATATTTTTAGGCTAAATATGTATATAAACTAAAGTGGAAGGGCTATTTCTAACAAAAAATTCAGGGGGGGGGCCACAGCCCCCCCCTGCCCTAAGCAAGCTTCGTCCATGTATAAGGCTGCAGGAAGATTGTTATGTGAGAAGTATCCGTCCATTGTTTGGTATCCTTGTGAAGCACACTGTATGAACTTGATTATGAAGGACATGTCGGAGATGCGTGAAGTCGCTGATTTGGTTACACTTGCATCGAGGGTTACAGTTTTTGTTTATAACCACAAATGGCCATTAAATTGGTTAAGAAAAAGACTAGGTTGGACATAGATTATTCGTCCAGGTGCCACTCGTTTTGGTACTGCATTTATTGCATTGAAGAGTTTGTGTGATCACAAACATGATTCGCAAGCTATGGTCACATCACCCAATTATAAAAATGTGATTAGATTAGAAAAAACAAAAGAAGTTAAGTTTATCATATTGAATGAAAGATTTTGGAATAATTGTGCTATCATAGTAAAGGTGATGACTCTAATGTTGAGACTTTTACGAATTTGTGATTCGGATAAGAAGCTGGCTTTAGGTATAATTTTTTTTATATTTTTTAATGATGTTTACAAATATATTATCATTTTTATTATTTTAATTGATGCTTTTTTTCTTTTTTTAGGTTATGTATACGAAGGGATGTATAGGGTAAAAAAAGGAATTAAGAAACTTTTTCGCAACAAC